CAGTTTCACGGATCTGCACGGCAAAGGACCAAAGGTCATTGGTGGAATCTAGAAAGTCTGTGCCAGTGGGATGAAGGACCTGTGCTAGCAGGCTGAGGGATTTACACAGGAGACAGGAAGCGATGCTCAAAAGAACCAGAGCTCCCCTGAAAGTTACCACAGCCATCCTCAGCAACAGTGAGGGCCCGGGTTCCTCCCATGATCAAAATGGCCGAGTTCCCATCAGGGAAGCCAACGCAGCAAGCTTCTTCAGGAGACCGGCAGTGCATCATCTTCCCTGCCAGAGCCAGGAAGTGATGCTCAAAGTGAGGACTAGAGCTCCCCCAAAGTGAACCAAAGCCATACTCAGTGCCAACAAGGTCCCGAGCTCCTCGGAGGATGAAAACAGCCAAATTCATCAGGAAAGCCAGCATGGTGAGCTCCTCCAAAAAACCAACAGCTTCTTACCGCCTCTACCAGCTCCAACACCTTTCTCTGCTCCCAACAGCCTCATTAGTTCCCAAAAGCCTTTTTTCTTCTTCTCCAGTTCTGCCTCTTACACTGCTGGCAACAGTCCCCAGGTGGGCCTCCCACTTCCAGCACCATGCTTACTCAGTTCAGCTGGGGGTTATAAGCTGACAACCAGTTGTCAACCCACTACACTTGGGTTCATTGATTTTGGGCTGTAGTGAAGCAGAACATTATAGCTGTGGTGGAACAAAGCTGCTCACCTTATGGTAGCCAAGAATTGAAGAGAGAGGAAGGGGCAGGGGTTCCAAAAGACCCTTCGAAGGCACACACCCAGTGACCTACTTCCTCTAGTTAGGCACTACCTCTTAAAGTTTCCACCACCTTCCAGTAGTGTCAATAGCTGGGGACAATACCTTCAATTCAGGAGACTTCAGGGATGTTCCAGATACAAACTATAACAGTGGATAACCAGAACACATGTTTCCCCAGGTGGCCTTCCTCACTTTGGCTGGAATAAATTCTTTGTTTCCATTTTTGGTGTGCTTCAAGTTGGATTTTAGGTTGATAGCTTATATAAGAGAGCATCCAACAGAGCCTGGGAGTGGGATAGCTCAGAGGGCAGGAGGATCTGCTCAGAAGCCTTCCACTGAGTATTTAGGTTTGAGTCTTAATGGAAAGAGAACCGTAAGAAGTAGGTTTGGGAAACAGTACAGTGTGTGCAGTTTCACAGGAGCATAGGATGTGAATGAGATAAAGGCTAAAAGTTGAAAAGCAAAGCTCTCTAAATTATTCAAAAGCAATGATTTTTCTCTCTAGTAAAATTGTAAGCTTCTTGAAGTGAAGCAGTGGAGACACCTCTTTTGTCTTTGTATTTCCAGCATCTAATTTAATGCCTACAACACAGTACACACTTATTAAACTATTGATAAATTCATGAGTAAAGAACAAGGAAAGAAGTTGGGTTCTTGTGGGTTCCCTCCTCCCTCACTTTCTTCCAAATATTGTTCTTTCCATGTCCTTTCTGATAGCTCATGCCTCAAAGTCACACCTCCTACACACACCTGAAAAAATCCTGTGAGATGCCACCTGGCTTCCATCCTACCACATTCTGGGTATAACTGAGCCATGGCAGAATCATGACAAGAGTAAGAGAAGGAGTGATAAACGTTTGGTCTCCTGTGCCATTACTTCTGTCCTACCTAGGGCAGAAACACCTGGCTGGTCTTCCCACCCATGCTTGGTAATCGAGCTGGAAGAATATGTCCTTGGAGATACTGCAGAGGTAAAGTTTATACTTGAGTCTCTGGTGTAAGTTGCTTCCTAAACAATTCAGTTCAGTTATGTGACAATTTGAAAACTATATATTGGATTAGAGGGGGGTCAGTATCAATTTTTAGCACATTTACAAAACAAAGTAGGAGAGAACCTGGGTGAAATACTGTCTTTGTTACTTTTCTCTTGTTGCTGAGACAAAATACCTGACACACAAAATTAATGAAGGAAAGGTTTATATAACTCAGTTTGTGGAGGTTTCAGTCCATACTGGACTGGCTCCAAGGCAGAGTGGCACACAGCAGAGGGCAACAGTTCATGGCAGATGAAAACAGTAAAAGCAGCAAGAGCAAAAAGGGAGGAGCCACAAGAACAAGCCTCTTTCCCTCCCTCATATTGTATACAGGCTGCCCGCCCCAGGGTGGGGGTAGCACTCACACCCATAAGCCCAGCAGTGGACTATGAATCAATCATAAACTCTAAAAGCCTGCCCAGTGACTGCATGAGGCTTTGGGGGGACATCTAGATACAAACTGTAACAAATACCATCTAAGTTTCTTCTTCATTCACATATGATTACCAAGAGCTTCCTAGGGATACAGTGATGAACAAGAGTCACCTGCCTTACTGGAGCTTATAGTTGGTAGGGGAGACAGCAAGCAAATAATATGCAGCTGTTTCACATAATATGTGGGTACTTCACATATATTAATTCACTTAATCATTGTAATAACTCAGTTATGTCCTATTATTAGGACCATTTACAAATGAGAGCATTGATGCATTTTATATTATATATTTTATATTTAGGAACTGATAAAAAGGCATGGAGTACAGGGAGTAGAAAGAAAATATACAGGAAGACCTAATGTAGTCCTAAGGATCAAAGAAGTTTCTCTAAATAGGAGACGTGAAAATGGAGATCTAAGGGATGAGTTGGAGTCTAGTAGATAAACAACATCTGAGCAGACAGAATTGCAGACAAAAGAAACAGCAGATGCAAGATGCTCCAGGAACTGCAAGCAGCACCGAGGGAGCCCAAAATGAGGTCAGAGAGGTAGGCAGGGGCCAGCTCTCCTAAGCTTCTTTCTCTACATCTCCAAATAGTATGATAAGGTGAGGGAAACGGAAAGCTGAGATTCAGGGTCAGAGTTGAGATTGTTGTCCTACCAGTGCCCTTAATATCCTCAGCCATTTCTCTGGGGCTCAGTATCCTTGTGGGGGTGGATAAAAGTGGATGGACCAGAGCGCTCAAGGGCTCCAGGTGTTCTAGAGCTCTGATTCTAGGTCTTCTGGAAGGAAATGTCAGACCAAGATGTAAACCCTGAACGCCGATGAACAAACCGAGGGCCAAATGTCCCAGTACTCAGTGGCCAGCCAGTCTTTGGCAGTCTCGGACCTTTTGTAGACTACGAACTTTTGAGGGAGACCATTACACACAATGAACTACACAATAAATACTGATATGAGCATAGTTTGTTCCCTTTACTTGAGTGAACTGCTAATAACAACAGTGTAATAAAGATAATAACTACCTCTTGCCAATGGACAAAATTGTATTTATTTATTTATTTCTGAGACAGGGTCTGTAGTTGAAGCTGTCCTTGAACTCATGTATAGCTCAGGCTGGCTTTAAACGTGCTGCAGTCCTCCAGCCTCAGCCTCCCAGGTGCTGGGATTACAGGCGTGTGTCACTAGCAATGTATTTTAATGATCATAATTTGCTTTATTTTTAATTCTAGGTTTGGGCAACACTGCATTCCATAAAACAGAATAGTGTTCCCATGGGCTAGAAGGAGGAGGTTGGCACTGCCGACAGAGAAGTGTTTCAAGAAAGTAGAAGTAAAAAGTATTTCGATCATTTCAAAGTTATGTTCTTGGTAAAATGAGGAAAAGAGACAGAACTGAAAAATGACTTGTAGTCAATATCAAATTACTTTTTTTTTCTACAACAGTGAGAGTTGAACTCTGCATAGCGGATGCATGGCAAGGGCTGTATCTTGAGCCACACAGCCCTTCTTTTGTGGTTTTACAAAATTGTCCAGACTGCCCTTGAAGTTGCCATCCTCCTGCCTCAACCTCTCAGGTAGCTGGGATTTCAGGCCTTTGCCACCACACAGACTAGCATCAAGTTATTTTTGGTTACTTCTTTTACCTACAGCAAAAGGAACTTTTATTATCTTACCAACTGAAGCTGGCATGTTTGGGAAGTTTGTCTGTTATCTCTCTAGCCCAGATCTCTTGGAAGGTCATATAAACTGCTTAGTTTTACTTGGTGACCAAGAACTTTTGGGTGAAGGATTCAATTTTGATTTTTTGGCCCGGTGTGTGTAGAAAGTTAATCTAAAACAATGATCTCCTGTAATTTTACTTTTTTGAGCACTTACTGGGGATCAAGATTATACAGGTACTTTTGAATGAATTCCCTCATAACAGCCCTATTATGGATGCAAAAGGGGAGGCCTCAGGCAATGACATAACTTTCCTAAAATTCTCACTACCCAAATTTGTCCTGTCTCTTGAGCATGCTCAGTGCAGTGTCCTAATGCTAGGTGTGTTGAGCAATGTCTGGGTTTGCTCTGTGGCTGAGTTGGAACAGAGACCCAGGGCTGATTCCAAAGCTCTTGATGTGCATCACCGTTTGATGTTGCCTTCCTTTCATAAAACCAGAGGCAACTCTTTGCTCTATAATTAACATTGCATTGTCTCTTTCTGGGTGAGGAAAGAGCTTTTTATAGTTTGGGATTGCTTGTGTTTACTAGGTTTTTTTTCCCAACACCTGTTAATCCTGTTTTGCCCTTCATTGTCCTTGCACTGTATTCCTTTCCTGCAAGACTGTTAACACTGTGAAACCACATGGGTATGAGTATGTGCATGTGTGTGTGTGTGTGTGTGTGTGTGTGTGTGTGTATGCGCGCGGGCGCACCAGTAAAGAAATTCGCTCTCCTGCTTACCCACGTCGGCCTACCTTTCTATAATTAATCGTTCCCTTTCCTTCTCTTAGTCCTCTGAGTACTTCGGTCACTTAACTAAATATATGCACGCACATGAATACGCGCGCAAGCGCGCATACGCCCGCGCACACACACACACACACACACACACACACACACACACACACACACACACACGGGGCGGGGGCAATTTGAGTGACCTTGCAAAGGTATCTAGACCACTAGGGACAGAATTAGCAAGCTTGAAACCTCTGCAAATATTTGGCTTCCTCCCCGGTTCCTCCCGAAGCTGCTGGCTCTCTCCGGCCTGCCTCACCCAGTGCTCTTTCAGCTGGATCGGCCACACAAAGCTCAACCCGCCCATCTCCTTGTAAACCCAGAGAACTTCATTCCCCATGTTGAAACTCGTCGGTGGAGGTGGCGGGCAGGACTGGGCATGCTCAGTGGCGGGGACAGGTCTGGGAAGCGAGGAAGCTCCACTTGAAGTCGCAGGGCCTAGGGATCAGGGGGAGGCGAACTGCGGGGTTCCCGGCCGGGGCAGCGCTAGGTCCAGATTCGGCGCCCCGGGCCGGCATGCTCCGGAGCTGCGCGGCCGGCCCGGCGCGCAGGGGGCAGGGCGCGGAGGAAGTGGGGGAGTCGTCGGGAGGAGGGGAGGAGCGCCTGGCTCACCATCCCCCGGCGCCGGCTTTGCGGCCGCCGAATCGGAAGGCGCAGGGAGGATCTGAAGCAATAAAGACGACCGAGAATGACCTCCAGCGGGGCCTCCTGAGCCGAGGCCCGTGCGCTGCGCCGCCAGTCCCGGGTATGGGGGACCGCGGAGCGCAGCCGGAGCGCGCGGGCGCACACTCGCCAGGGGACTCCGTGTACACCGGCGCCGCCGCCCTCAACGGGCTGCTGCACAACGGCTTCCACCCGCCGCCAGCCTGCAGCCGAGGCGCCGCGGGCTGCGGCGCCGCGGCGCCCCCACGCCTCGCGGGGCTGGCGGAGCTCCAGCCGCAGCCGCAGCTCCCTCAGCATGACTCTCCAGCCAAGAAGTGCCGGCTGCGGAGAAGGATGGACTCGGGGAGGAAGCATAGGCCGCGTAAGTCCTGCCGGAAGGAAAACGCCGGCGCGAAACCCGCGCGGCGCGGGGACTGGGAGCGGCGGGGCAGGCGCCGCGGCACCAGGTGCACCCGGCGCTGCGGGAGAGGGGCCTCGCGGGGCGCTCGGCCCGACTCTTTCCCCGGGCCGCCCCGCACGGAATGCTATTGGCCCGCCTGCCCTGCCTCGGTCGTGACCGCCGAATGGGTCTGTTGGGCGCGGAGCTCGAGCTGGTCCTTAAGTCAGACTCTGAAAGGCGAATCACTACCCGCCCTTTTAATTGTTCGCAGGGAAATGCGCTTGTGTGAGCCTTTGAGCAAGTCCAGGAGTGGGAGTAGAGCAGGCAGCACGGCCCAGGCTAACTTCTCCCTTCCCAGAGCACATCTTTCTGGGGCTGCAGCTCTGGCGAGCAGCTTGCCCTTTGAATCACAGAGTAACCGCCAGTGTCGTGGGTCTATTGGCGAGCTCAAGTCTGGAGGCGTGGAGTTTGACAACCCCCAAATCACAGCCTTTTAAACACTGTTTCTTCGCAGCCAATGAGAAGGCCTGCTAGGACGGACACACCCACTGATACCATGTGGGCCGGAACTATGTGGGCCAATGAGGATTGGAGGTGAATTTTTTTTTTTTCGTGGGAGGGGGTAGAGTTAAATGTAATTGTACAGAGCAGAAAGCCAAAGTGCGTTATTTCACAATCTAAAGCTTGTATATATAGTGGTAGTTTGTAAAGGGCACCTTCCTCGCGTGACATCCTGGGATGTAAATTTGTAGTTCGAGTTTACGGCTGTTCTTTCTTGTCTGCGCTGAACCTCATTCAACTGGTTACTTCTTTGTGTTTTTAATGAAGCTTATAAATGGCAAAAAGCAAAGTAAGTAGAACGTATGCTAATAAATGATTACATTCATACATGCACATTTTGCATAAAACATTCTGTTTGTTGTGGGGAAGTTGTTGAATGGTTTTGGATTTCTCTGAAAGTTTGATATTTGGCAAATAGCATAGCAGTTTCGCTTTTTGCTGTTTGTCTTCTTTTTTGAATCCCTTTTTCACTCTTAGCTTTTCTGCACTGAATTAAAATTTCTAAGACCCTGAAAAGCCCTTTGACATGACCGGGTGTACTCCGTAGCTCTGAAATCGGAAGGCTGGCAGTTGAGGTTTTGGGTGACAGTTTGGAACCACACAGTAGATTTTGGCTACAGTTTTAATACAGTTTTTACTTGTATTTTTATGTACATTTTGCTATTGTTGGGAAATGACTTTTTGGGGTTTCATGTTAATTACTTATTTATTTGTTTTACTTCTTTTAAAACGACATTTTAGTTATCTCTCTGGTCTACACTAACATTGTACTAGACTTCACAGTGAAGATAGCTAAACTATGATGAAAGGTAACTGTTGAATTTTTGTTTAGAAGTGTCAACTTGAATGATGTGTTCAATGGAGGATATAATATTTTAAATAATTTTCGATGAATTGAATATAATCTTTAACAATAATTCAAAGAAAAAGCTACCCTAAGCCTAACTTGTGCTTGCAAACTTATAGGGATTATTATTACTATTATTATTATTATTATTGCTGTTATTTTGTGGTACTGTTATCAAACCCTGGGCCTTTGCATTACGCCGTACCCCCAGCCCTTTAAAAATTTTTTTAGTTTGAAAGATTTCACTGAGTTGCTTAGTTGCCCAGACTGGGCTCCGACTCGACATTCTCCTGCCTTGACCCTCCTCAAGTGGTGGGATTAAAGGTGTGCGCCACCATGGCTAATAAGTATTATTTTAAAATACAAGAGAATAAAACATTTTCCAGGCCCTGTGTGCTTTATGTCAGTAAAGTGGTTTGTATTTCTAATAAAACTGAAAATCTTAATTCTTTTAAGTGACTTTAATTCTTTTAAGTTTCATCAACATCGTTTTTCATCATCTTCTAATTTTTTTTCTCAGATTTGAGCAAACATTTTTGAAATAAATTTTACGTGTCCCGAGGAGTCACATCTGCATATTTTACTACCAAACATTCTAGTTAAAACTGGGTGTAATATTTTTGTAACTTGACCATTGACATTCTTATATCTTTTTTTTTTTTTAAATATTGTTCAATCAATTAATATTTAGGTACGTTCAAGAGAAATCTTAGAGTTAAAGCTAATCTAACCTCAGCCCAGGCTACCCTAGAATTCATGGCAATCCTTCTGCCTCAGCCTCCCGAGTGTTGGGATTACTGGTGTAGACCTGCACGCCCGGCTTGTTTTCTGATGACTGACAATTTTACATGAACAATTATTACAGAGTATTTGAGTCAGAGCTTTACAGACTATGGGGACAATCAGAATATATTTGTGGTGAAGCATCAAACTGGGTAGCTTACCAGTTTATGATAGGAGACATACACTCTTGCCCACACTGGATGTGTTTTAAGATAGCCAGTAATACCACTTTTAAAGGCACCTGGAATGGAAACAATGGGTGGAATGAAATATGCAGTCCAGTACTTTTAGACTTTTTTTTAAAAAAAATGCTAACCTGAACTCCCACTGCAAACACTGTACACTATCCTGCAGTCTGTTAATGAGATTAGGACCAGGCTTGGTGGCACATGCCTAGAGTCCCAGCACTTGGGAAAATTAGGCAGGAGGATCATGAGTTTGAGGTTGAGGGTATATGTAGCTCAGTAGAGAAGCATGTGTTTAGCATTTTCCAGGCCCTGGGTTTGACCCCCAGCATGGAAAAAAAAATCAGATCAATTGAATGCTGATCTTGCAAACTCAAGAAAGGAGAATATTTTCCATTGTTTTCATCTAAAGTGCTGTCACCTACTCTACTCATCCTTGGAAGAGTGTTCCAGAACTAACTGCTGCACCAGGCTTCTTATTTACTTTGCCACCCTCTGCTACTTAGCAGCAGCATGAACTCAATTAAGCTATTAGCACTCATCCTGAAATGCTTGAGTTGGGTTAGGTGACCTGCAAGTGGTATTTTTGCCCCTTTAGAATTCTGTATTTCAAGCCAGGCATGGTGGTGCACTCTTTAGTCCTAGCACTTGGGAGGCTAAGGCAGGAGCATTGCCTGGAGTTTGGGGCCAGCCTGGGCTACACAGTGAATTAAAGGCCTGCCGAGAAGACTCACCGAAACCTTGTCACCAAAAAAAAAAAAAAAAAAAAAAAGTTATATTTCAGAGCTGACAGTTCTTGACAGTTCTTCCTACATGACCTCTGTACTAGTCAGCCAGTACACCAGATGACTTAGCATGTAACTAGGCATTTGTGGTGTGTGTGTGTGTGTGTGTGTGTGTGCTGCTGGGGACTGGGATTGAAATTGAACCCAGGACCTCACACACCTACCTTGTTCTGTCTCATTGTCACCCCCGTTAATTTGGAAGTCTTATTATAGATTATTTTTTCTCAAATGCCTTGCACCTTAGGTACATAAATATGTGACTGATGTCACAAAAAAAAATGGCACTAGTGACATCATCACCACCTCCTCTGAGTAGCTGTTTCCACCTCTATGGTGACCTTTGGCAAAAGACTTTAATGGAGTTTCCTTCAGTGTCAACAGGGAGGTTCCTTTGGTTTACCCTTTCTGCTTCTTTGAAGCACATCTGAGTAACACCTCATGGGGTCAGCTCATTTACCAAATATTTTGAAACTAGTGGTAGGCCTAAGATGATGTGTTTGCCTAATGTATTACAAATATTATAAATTCACCCCATCAAAGGGCTTGGGTTTGAATTTCAGCTGTGTGATCAGAGCCAGTTACTTAACCAATGTGCTACAGTTCCAAGAATAATAAAATGGGGAAAATCATAATACCTGTGGAGCTTATGTAAACATAAAATAAGAAAATATAAGGAACTTAGGTTGACCCTAGCACTTAGTCCCTGCCAGGTGACAATATCACCCCACAGCAAACAGTATGCATTATTAATCCACGGGGCAGGACACTGAGCTGGCTTAGACTGCTTGCCTTAGGTAAAATATTACATGGCTTAGAGTTAGAAAGACTAAAAAGTTTACTTGATTAGCTGTGACATTCCTAGCCTCACAGTTTTCTTTCTTTCTTTGTTCCGCTCTCTTGGCCTATCTCTCCCCTCCCTCCCTCCCTCTCTCCCTCTTTCCCTTCCTCCCTTCCTTCCTTCCCTCCTTCTTTCCTTCCTTCCTTCTTTTTCTTCCTCCCTTTTATTCCTTTGTTCCTTCCATTCTGCAACTGATGCTTACTAAAGGATAACTTTAATATTGTTTTGTTTTTTGGGTGGTGGTAGGAGAGAAATGACACAAACTAATATATATATTATACTATATACATTCTATATATTTAGATATATATAATCTTATATATACACTATATACTATATAATCTATATATACTTACACTATATACATTATATATATTTAAGGGACCTTTGAGACACCAACAGTACTGTTTTAGATAAGCCAGACCACTACAGGAGAAAGAACAAAGATGTGAAGAAGACGATTTTAATCTTGGAACACTGCACTTCAGAAAGGCCTAGATCTGAGCGTTGAACGTCTTCTAAGCCGCTGGAGGACACATGCTGCTCATTTGCCTCCCAGGGTGCGGCAGTAGGGAGCAGCAGTGGACAGATGATGCTTGCGGCCTTTGGGGGAGTTTCTCACTTCACACATCATCCAAATAGAACCTCCAGGGAGCAGCAAAGGAATAATAGTTCATTATGCACAAACAGTACAAACTGAAGAAACCCAAATCTTTTGCCTAGTTTGGCCATCACTGTGAATATATAAAGTGTCAGTTTTTTAAAATATCAAGGTATTAAAATATGGCACCTTGTAGGGGCTGGGGATTTAGCTCAGCGGCACAGCGCCTGCCTGGCAAGCATGACGTTGTGAGTTTGATTCCTGGTACCAGAAAAAAAACCAAAAAAAAAAAAATTGGACTTTATATTACCATCAAACCAGGTCAAGTAGAAAACCAGTATGAAAAGATAAATAGGGAGAATTTTCTGCATAAGGTGTGGAT